GACATCACCTGCTGCGAGAGCCTCATGTTTTTCTCACCCATGTCTCCGTCCTTTCATTTGTTTTCTCCTCCACCCATCTCACACCCCACCCACTGCCTCCACACAAACCTCCTCCTCGTCTCCCTCTCAGCGTCATCCTAATGTAGTTGCGGCTCACTAATCTACTATCCCTTTGCACTTGACTTCTCCTTGATTTGAGTGCCTTCCCTCGAGCTTTTTCCATCTATCGTCTCACTCACCGCCTCCTCCACCTCCTCCTTCTCTCTCAACTTGTCCTCCTGTTTTTTTTTTTATCTCACCCCTCTTTCAGCTCTAAACAATAACTCCTGAAAACTTTCAGATATATTGATTGATTCAATAACAGCTTTTTTCTCCCCTCCTGGTATCACACACACAAAGACGGCCTACTCATTTATAATTGCACGCTAACACACACACACACAAGCTCGCCCTCTGACTTAAGCACCTCTCCGTCTCACCCTGCATCCTTCCCTCTGTCTCCCTTCACAGCGGAAAGCTGAGAAAATGAATGTTTTCCATTTCTCTCGCTCCTGGGCAGCGCCGCCGCTGTGCCAAGGTGAAATCTGAGGCTCACTTTCAGAGAAGCCAGACACAAACACACACACACACACACACACACAGAAGGTGTTTTACAGAAATAAGAGGTATGATTCATAAAGCTGGACAAATGGGAGAAAATGAAACTGTATTTTCATCAGTGCCAGGAGGCCACACGCTCTGTCTCCGAGCTGTTTCCAAGACTCAAACTTGTTGTTGCAAGTCTCTGTTTTTGTTCTTTTGGTGAAGACGAAACAAAAGAGCAGACGTAGCGCCTCAAGTTTTGGGTACGTTGTATACAAAAGACCAATTTTATGCCTTTGTACGGAGTGTTTCTGTGGCAGATATAAAATCACACAAAGTCCCACAGAAAGAAAAGCAGCAGCAGCTCCAGTGTTTCTCTATCGAAGAAATGAATTCTTGGGAGTTCCTGCTTTCTCTTCTTCGTCGGGATTCCCTCTCTGCAGGGTTTTGCTTATATTAAAGAGCTGTTTAAGAACCACCTCCGTCCTGGAAGGAGCCGTCATTTGCATATAATTTAACTGTGATGGTGCACCAGAGGAGATGCTGTCTCCTGCATCATGTTAGGTCACACAGTGATGAAGTTATAGACGTAGATAGACAATGATTCGCCGCCCTGCAGTGTGTCAGAACAACTCGAGTCTTGTGTTTCACATATTAAAGCTGATAAATATAACCTATTCATTTTAGCTCACACCAGCATCATTAAACTTGTGATGAACATCCTTATCTTTAATTTCCTTAAAGCGAGACAAATTGTCCCCTTGAGTGAAAGGAAATTTTTGATACAGGAGCTTGAAAGTGTAAAATAAGTACGAGGGAATTAGGAATATGGGTTACCTTTTCTTGTATGCTAACGCAGACGTTAGCATCACCCTGGTTCCTTCATCAAAAAGCCAATGGGATTTTTCATTGGATTTTGGATTACTACAGAAAATAAGCTCTGTGGCAAACAAACTTCTTCTCATTTCTTTCACAAATTAGCACCACTGTTTAGATTTTTGAAGCATAAACGCAATCGTCAGAAGCAAAAAGCTAACGTTAGGCTATAAACAAACTACACCACGGTCATATGACTCTACGCCCCCCCCAACAACAGTCTAATTTACCCATTTGTTAGCAACTGCCCTTTTTGTAAAGACTTCAAAATTCACAAGTGGGGTAGTTACTGACGTATTTTATTATTATTCTATCTAATTAATTTGAAGCATACAGCTCGACAAGGCCATTTAATTGGACTACTGTCTTTGTCCCAGTATACAATGGGAGGGGAATTTATTTACTGACCAAAGTTTGTCCAACTCCGCTACGATAGATGCCGATATGCCCCCTTTCAGATTGTTAGTATTGGACTTATTACGTCATAGACCAAACAATCAACAGACAAGTTAGCTACAGGTAGCTAGCAGCTAACTGCTACCATGGTGGACAACTTTACAGCTCCATTTCGTCCATCCAAAAATGCACAGCTCTGGGTGTAGATTTCGTCATGTTGTTACCGGCTTCTTTGTCTGTCAGACGTTTAATGCTTTCAAATTCCGGGTAAAAGCCCAAGGCAGACACTGTGGAGCATGTGCAGAGCGTGTCGGCCATTTTAGGTCCGATTGACTACATACATGCATGATAAATCAATCTTCTCTAATGTCATGTATACTTACTGACTCTTTGTTTTTATAGACTTTTAATTAAACGTACCTGGAAGGTAGATTTTGAGAAAGCTAAAATTAACTTACGAATCTTTAAGAAAACAACGAGAACCTGATTTTCACACGTTTACCTTTTAACTCTTTTTTTTTAAACCAGTTTTCAAAACAAACAGAAAAAAAACGTCCTGGGGTTGTTGGGACTGTTTGAGTATCAGCCCAGTGAGGCCACACTGTTGACCCAGTAACCTACAGGCCCACCCTGCCCAACCCCAAACACCACTAAGCCCAGAAATGTGACAATCCAGACAATTAGCAAGGTATGTGTGTGTGTGTCACAAGCATTCACATGTGTGTCTTTGACATGGGAAAGAAATGTGTGTGGGGTGTGTGTGTGGAGGGGGGGATTACAACTCTGGTATGCGAATCACAGCGTGCCCTTTCATTAATCTGCAATCAAAATCTCGTTTCCCGGCCCTGTTCTCTCTCCTCGTTCACCTCAAAAAGCACAATGATGTCGAGCCCTGACAACGACGCCTTGTAGGCCTTTAATGAATAGACAGTCCGGCGGAGAAATACAGTAACCAAGGGTGACGGCTATTGGCATATTGACTCACAGTTTGTACAAAGAGCCCACGTGAGGCTGAGAGCGCAGACGTATTATAAAGGGACCTCTCACTATCTGCATGAAACAAGACAAGAAATCATTATGTGGGCAAGGAGACATTTGAATTGGCACGTTGGACCTGCAGATAAGGACACGTACAGTGAGAGGCTGTTACTGGCTGGACTTTATCTCATGCTCCTATCCACAGCAGCTGACAGTGAATTAGAGCTTAAAATATTAGCTGACTGACAGAAATGAGTACACAGCAGTGCTTAGAGCTAAATGCTAACATTAGCATACTCAGAATGGTGTTTACCATGTTCAGGTCTGTGACATGGACAGGGTTCCTGGAGAGTGATGTTCCTGCTGAATCTTTCAGTATACTGTATTTATAATTTATAATTTTCCAACACTGTAACCACCACAAATGAAATTCCAGTCACCTCCACATGTCTTGGGGTGAACAAAATACATGTAGTCATGTATCTCTAGGGCTGTCGTGGTGAAGGAACTTCCCCTGTAGTGATTAAGGGAGGCTCAACAGCGTGATATGCGACATGGAAATTACCTTGTTATTCAAATTTTAGTGCTCTGTAAATAAACTTTATTATTAGGTGTACTGTTGCTGTTTAAATGACTAATATTAATTGCTAAATGCAGCACACAGAATGAGGCACAATAGACCAAATCACTGTGACGTCATGCTAACACTTCCCTGTAGACAACTGGCAATTGTTTCGAGTCCATAGTCCATAGGGACTTGGACGGTAGCCGGTTCAAGTCCACGTCCGGACCAAATATGGAGCTTGGACTGGCAGCTGGAGAGGTGGCAGTTCCCCTCCTGGGCACTGACGAGGTGCCACTGAGCAAGGCACCAAATCTCCAGCTGCTCTGAGCATCTGTCCATGGGCAGCCCACTTGCTCTTACATCTCTCCATTTAAGGTATAGGTCCTGTTTGTGTGTATGTGGATTTATATGACATCTAATTTCTCCTTGAAAATATATCTTCTTCATCTTTTATGAAATACTACACACTGGATCTTTTACATTAAGTTACGTAGGTTAAGTTTAGGTAAAGAAACATGATGATAATGTACCTAAAATGACTCAAAGTCCACATGGTTCCAAAAAACGTTGTCCTGGGGAAGGTCTTTTTTTTTTTTTGTGTGATCCATACCGGAATTACTGGCTCATGATTACATGGGATTAGGGTTGCCCCCGACTAAGAATTTTCCTAGTCAACCAATAGTCGTCATTTAGGGCCATTAGTCGCCCACATGTTTACAATATTAATTAATATAGGCCTATATTTTATCTACAAGTGCATGTCACACACTGAGCGAGCCGTCTGTTAATGACGCTGTGGGCTAATGGGCATGTAGCTACTTCCATGTTTGTAGTCGACCAATGAAGATGATTTTACATATCACCTTGGGTTCGTCCTTCACCTTCTCAAAATGATCCCACACTTTGGATTTCCTGCCCGACATGTTATTAACTAGCCTGTGGAATAACCGCAGGTACCAGCCCTGGAAATTAACCTGAGCATGGACACTTCCTGTGTCTGTCCTTTCAAATTAAATTCCCACATGGTCCAGTCATATAGGTTTTGGTGTATTTTGACAAGGCGCAGCTCCTTATAGAGTTTCACTTTTGTTTTTTGTTCATTTTTCTGTAAATAAGCGACCAATGAAATCTTGCTAAATAATGACCTTTCTGGTCGACGAACATTTGGTCGACTAATTAATTTTTTTGTTTCTAGTTTCTTCTCATAGCGGTACACTTTGTTCCCAACGTGGGATTATCAAACATCATTGTTCAGCTCTGCTCTGATTGGTCCAATCTGATTGTTTCAACCTGAGAGTTGACTAACTCTCAATCAAGCAGATCACAATCACCTGAGTGATGAATGTGTTTGCGTTTATAGAACTCTTGTTATGCTATGCGGTGGTGACTTGACAATGCCTGATGGAGATCTCTCCACAGTGTCCGAAACTCTTGATTCTTGATTTAAAAACATTTCAGATGTGCGTACCCTCCACCCTGCCGTATTTGGGTGAACCAACCCTTTAAATCACTGAACACAAGTGACTGTAAGATTGTGTCGTCGTGACAGTACCCACTAGAAGGACCCTGAAACAAACAAACAAGAGGAGGTATAATGACTCACCTTTTTATCATCCTGCAGCATTGGCACCCCATTTGGCCAGCTGTGTCGTGGAGCTGTGGAGGGACATTAACAAACACATTAAACTTTAATAACACAGACGCCCTTCGAGGATCTAAAGCGACAAAACTTTCTTTAAGAACATCCACATATCAGTGGGTGTCAGTTTTCCATCAATGTCTGAGCCTGCTCATCAAGGAAAGGTTACAGTCGGCTCCACAGCCACTGGTCTGCACAATACACACACTTTGACAGAGTCCGAGGCTGCTATTGATCGGACAGTTCACCACCTCTGACATGTGAGTGGTTTTTAAATGAGGGCTCTCTCTCGAAGATTTCACCTCATCAGTCAAGTTTTTGCTTTGCCCTTGGTCTCGACGGTGTTTGGACACGAGGATGAAAACTCTGTCTGCCTGAAGCACCGATAAAGATGTTATTGCCATCCATCACTGTTGTGTGTGCGTGTGTGTGTGTGTATGAATGTGTATCTGCGAGCAGAATGGGAGTGACCTTTTCTCTCCTGGTGGTGTGTTTCTCTAGGCTTTGGCATTTCATTGCCTGGGTAAATAATTAATCACTGAGTCTTGAATGGGTTTGTCTGCGAGCGAAGGAGACAGAGAGAGCCACAAAGGTAGAGGACACAGTATCTCTTTGTGGAATAGAAGGAAGGATGTGTGCCCACAGCACAAAACAGCCTCTATTCTTAACCGTAGCTCTCTGACCTGGCAGGCTTTTACCTTTGGTTAGATCTTTGAACAGAAGTCAAGTACAACAAGTTTTGGGTGCAGCTTCATCTCATTACAAATGATGTTTCAAATGAAGGCAAGAAACTAGATTTCATTAAATGGATTCACTGCACATGCCCCATTGTTCCTATTGAAGATGAAAGCCTTTAAAATGACTGTCACACATCGGGTTTCACTTTTAAAAAAGTCTAAGTAATGACTTCAAACACCTGGGCACTATAGTTTTTACCAAATGTAACTCAAACCAGAGTAAAAACTACATTTGTTGGGGACTATTTTCAGCCACTGATTAATACACATTTTGTGCTCTTGTGAGTTTTTACAACAGCAAGATGAAGGGTTGAAGGTTTTCTGTGATTTCTTTTTTTCTTTTTGTTTTTTTTTAAATGATTACCTCCCAGGAATAGAAATTGTTATGTACAAAAATTTGAAACAGTAAATACGTTTTTGACATATCAGCAAAATGTTCACTGAAAATATGTTATTTATTTGCCACCAACAAAGGCAATCAATCATTATTACCATTTTTAATCACACATAAGTAAAGTGATGACCTTTCCCTAACCTTTACGTGCTTTTGTTGCCTAAACCTAACGACCTGTGTGCTTGCTTTCGCAATGCAGGTGATGCTTGTTAGCAGGATAAAATAATTGTTGATTTAAGTCCTTATTCTGGGATTTGCTGACAATAAGAAAAATATAAGATAACTTTAGCCAAAATGTACAACAGCACATTAGGGCCATTGTGAGTACATAAATAAACAAATGAATATGGAGACGGGGAAGGGGGGTTATATTCTGGTAATTAAACTCTGAATTCACGAGATTAAAAGTTGTGTTAGTAAATTTAAATATAAAAAAAAAACTTGCATATTTTGTAAGATAAAAGTTATGAATGTACCAGAAAAAAAATCTCAAATTTACAATAAAAAACTTGAATATTCTTTGAGATATTAAAGTAATAAATCTACGAGAAAAAAAACTGAAATTCTATAAGATTAATATTGTAAATTCATAAAATAAAAACACTTTAATCTCTGAGATTAAAGTGGTAAAAGGAAGAGAAAAAACTGCCAATTTACTGGAAAAATAAATTATTCTCCGAGACCATAAGGTCATAAATTTGCAAGAAAAAAAAAATTCTCTCAGATTAATGTTGTAAATTTACAAGATAAAAACTTGGATATTCTCTGAGATTATAAAGCTATAAATTTGCAAGTAAAAACTCAGAAATTATCTGAGATTAAAGTGGTAAAAGGATGAGGAAAAAACTCCAATTTACGAGAAAAACTAAATTATTCTCTGAGAAAATACGGTCAAATATTTGCAAGAAAAAAACTCACATATTCTCTGAGATTAACATTGTAAATTTCCGAGATATAAACTTGGATATTCTCTGAGATTACAAAGTAATAAATTTGCAAGAAAAAACTGAGAAATTCTCAAACATTAACTTTGTAAATGTTCAAGCTATAAACTTGGATATATAAAGTAATACATTTGTGAAAAAAATTTAGAAATTCTCTGAGATTAATGTGGTAAAAGGATGAGAAAAAACTGCCAATTTATGCGAAAAACGTAATTATTCTCAGAGACCATAAGGTCATAAATTTGCAAGAAAAAACTCTCTGAGATTAACATCGTAAACTTCCGAGATATAAACTTGGATATTCTCTGAGATTAAAAAGTAATACATTGGCAGAAAAGGCAAAAATTTCAAAATTCTCCTAGATTAAAGTCATACATTTAAGAGACAAAAAATTTCTCTGAGATTAATGTGGTAAAAGGACAAGAAAAAACTGCCAATTTACAAGAAAAACTAAATTATTCTCTGAGACCATGGGGCCATAAATTTCCAAGACATAAACTTGGATATTCTCTGAGATAACAAAGTAATAAATTTGCGCAAAAAACTCAAATTCTCGAAGATTAAATTAAATTTCCGATATGTTAACTTTGATATTCTCTGAGAAAGATAAGGTCATAAATTTGCAAGAAAAACTAAGACATTCTCTAAAATTAACATCCTAAGTTTACGAGATAAAAATTCAGATATTCTCTGAGATTACAAAGTAATAAATTTGAGAAAAATTTAGGAATTCTCTGAGATTGATAAAATTAATAAATTCCATAAAAACCTGAATATTCTCTGAGATTAAAGTGGTGAATTTAATTTACCTGCTATGGCCCTCGTGATGTTATAAAAACCATGCCTCATACCTCCCATAATCATTACTTTTCTTCCTCATATGTATCTATTAGTTCTGTAAATCTGCAGCTGGGGCAGACAGCTATGATGCAACAGAGTTTAGATATGAGGTGGGACTTCATACATCTTCTTAGAAAGTCCTGGAGGGAAGGAGCTAAGAGGTCCAGGTGGACTCTGCTTGCACAGCTACACTGTTGATGTACTGCACTCCTCATGTTAGCATTAAAAAAGCAAAGAGATCTCGAGGACCTGCTGAGTTATGTAATATTACAAGCTGCCTTACAAGGCTATCAATACGATACTGTGAAACAAGACGTGACCGGGTCACATTTTTTTACATGAAAGGCTGTTTTATTTGTGCAGAAGCAGCAAAGCATGACTTGGCTGTCCCAAGGCGTCTAATTATCCCCCTACAGTCTGCCGCTGTGCGCCATGACATATAAAGAGGATGCAGACAAAGTCAACTTGGACACAGAGCAAATCTCAGAATACAATCCTCTTGTCTTTGAGTGTCCTCTATTGTCTCCTTCACAGAGACGATCTCTTGACTGTAACCGAGCTGAAACAATCCTCACCGCACATTCATCTACATTTTCACCAGGACCTCCAACACATTCACAGCTACTTCTGAAAAAAGCCAAGAGGGTGTTCGGTGCCAAGAGCAATTCAGACAGCCCGGCGGTTCGACAGGCTGTGCTTTAAATAGAGAACCCTGTTTCACACACTGTTGCACTGACAAGTGCCCACCCATGATGTGTCCCTTATCTTCCAGGAGGGGGGCAGAAGAGGAGGTAATTTCCCAGCGGGCATCTCCAACTATCACATTAATGAAGCGTTGCGTTAGCTCTCGGAAGAAGTCGCTATCAGCTGACTTTTACAATTACTATTCACATTCAAGCAGGTCAATAATCATCTGACAAGCTCCAAGTCTCAATCCTCTGATCGCTCGTGATTTCTCCCTCCAGCTTCCTCCTCCTCCTCCTCCTCCTCCTCCTGCCTTCTTGTTGTGCCGTGGCATTTCTTGCCTTGTGCATTATGTATATTCCGTATCTCAGTGATATGTGTCTGCTGCTTTCTGCTCGCCGTACCCTCGAGGCTGTTTTTAATGTGCTCTGAATCATTTGGGGAGCGTCCTCCAGCTCAGAGCCTGCGCTGCCAAATACGAGTGCATATCTATTTGTTGCAATAAATGGTCCTAAACCCTTTGACATAACTGTCTCTGACTGAATTGTTTTGAATTAATTATGAGTGTGAATAAGTTTACTTCCTTCCCAGCACTGTGTTTCCACCACAGATAAGAACACAGTGACAGTATGTGAATTATTATTGTGACAGAGGGGTAATTAAGCAACAACTTACTTCAAGTTAAATGACTTGCTTCATATTTATATTAATAAAATGATCAAGTATGGTCATGTAAAAGTAATTTATCTCCACCCACTTGACCTCTCTACTCCAATGTAGCAATGTCGGACATAAAAAATAAAATCACAATATATTGCCTTGCTGATAGTCCTGCAGTATATTGAATCTTATGTGTATTGTATTGTCAGATTCTTGCTAATTCACAGCCTTATCCAGCAGTGCTAACATACTGTAATCTATATTTATCAAAACCATTAGGGGCCTGTTTAAACAATCTACAGTACATGGTCTAAAGTGCATGGAGCAAATGCATTTAGGGTGTGTCCTACTCCACTTTTTCAAGTTATAAGGCGTATGATCTTGGTGCAAAGTAAAGTGCAAGGAGCAAAGGGGATGTATTACGCCTCTGAATTAATCATAGATATGTTATGGAGTGGTTTTCTACTGAGAGCAAAGCAGGAACAGCAGTCACGGCAGCAAATAGTGTGACACTGACAAATTGTAATTATAAACTCAACAAAGAGAAACAGAACTAAACTTTTAGCCTCTAAAATCTAGACTTGCACCGATTTATCGTCAGTGCTCGGAACCGGGCCGGTATTCACGTGATCGGCCATGACCTGCGACAGACTGGTCGGTCTAAAATATGCCGATTTAAAATGCCGGTCAACTTCCCGGCGCGCCGCATGATTGACATCGTATAACATCAGCAGCGCACGCACATGTGCAACTCACAG